TGGTCTCGAACTCACAAAGATCCGCCTGCCTCTGCCTCCCGAGTGCTGGGATTAAAGGCGTGCGCCACCACTGCCCAACTGAGACAGATTCTCATTATGTGGTCCAAGCTGACCTGGAATGTAAGATCCTCTTGTTCCCTGTCTGCTGCCCAAGTGCTGCGTTTACAGATGTATGCCACCATGTCCCCACCATGCCCAGTTCTTTCACTAAGTATGAAAGGTGAAGCCAGTGACCATCAGGTCGACAGACGCTGGACAGAGCATCCTAGAAAAAAAGTTGGACACAGTAGTGCACACCTTTAATCCCAGCACTCTCGAGGCAGAGGCAGGTGGATCTCTGTGAGTTTCAGGTCAGCCTGGTCTACAGAGTGAGTTCCGGGGCAAGCTTTTGAATGAGACCCTTTTTAAAAAAGAAACTCCCAGAAAAAGACAATGACTGCGTCAGTTCTGCTGTGGCTCCCAGCAGTCCTGTTCCTGTCCTACAGTGCGGCCATCCGGTCGTGGTGTCTCCCTGCCCTGTCCCCCCCCAGGAGCTGCAAGTCTCTCTCCTCCTTTCCACGGTGAAAGCTAACACTGGAGGGTCTTCAACTCTTGTTTGAGCCCCTTAGCCGACCCCTCCCTACACACACACACACACACACACACACACACACACACACACACACACACACACACACACCTTTGCCTCTCACGAACCAACGCCTCTACTTCGGCCCTCCATCCTTTCCCGTCTAACCTTCGACTCGTCCCTTTCTCCCATGGCCTCTGCAGCACCAGACAACTCCATGGCTCATGGAGACAGCCTCTGTCTCCTGCCAGGGCTCTGTCCTCTTGCTGCTCTGTCCCACTCTCCCGTCTAAGGGCAGGTGTGACACACGGCTGTCTACCAGGCGATGGCTTCTCCGTGGTCCCCGCTTTCCCACAGTGACCTCCGCTGTGCTCATTTCCAAGGCGGGTCAACAAACCGGTGACAACGGCCTGTCAGCTGGAACCTGGGGCTTCCTCCTGGGCTGGTGGCTCCCCAAGAATGTTCCACGGGCGCCCTTCCCATTCTGCCCACTTCTTCCCATCTAGTTTCTTTTGGCTTGGGCCTTTTCGGGTCACAAAAGTGGACCCCAATTCCCCAGCGCTGATCCATCCATCTTGTCCATCATCATCACACGATGGCTCTTCATTTCTGCATCGCTCCTGATGTCATCCTGCCCTAACCTATTATTCCGGGCCACGGACCCTCTCATCAACCTTTTAGGCTTCTCTCTCTCTCTCTCTCTCTCTCTCTCTCTCTCTCTCTCTCTCTCTCTCTCCTTCCCCTTTTCTGGATCACTGTTTTTTTGTTTGTTATGAGAGTTTCACTATGATATAGTCCAGCCTCAAACAATCTACTGCCTCAACCTTCTCATTATAGGCATGCACCACCAAACCTGGCCTCACGCTGTTTTCTTTAAGAAAATTATTCCTCCCCCTGTTCATTTCTTCTAGCCCAGGCTAACTGTGAACTCCAACTGGCTACATAGCCTATGCTAGCTTTGTTATGCCTGGTACTCTACTTTCAAGTGTACGTGGAGGGTACAACGGACTCAGCTGCCTCTCCCAACAAACTAAACCTCTCTAGGTCCCTCTATACAGAAGAGAGTGAAAAACCTTGGTCTATCAGGAAAAGAGGAGTTCCACAGTCTGGCCCCATTACACTGTTTTTGGTTTTTCGAGACAGGGTTTCTCTGTGTAGCTTTGCTCCTCTCCCAGATCTCACTCTGTAGACCAGACCGCCGCCGCCGCCCGGCCCCATTACACTTTTTAACTTGGATCCTCTATATAAATCCCACTTCACTTGCCTCTAAATCTCCCTATACATAAATCCCTGCCCAAATCTTTTCAAACTTCCAGCCTCCAGGTCTTCTCCCAGAATGCCTTTCCTGTCCCTTCCAACAAAATGAAGTTTGAATGTTACCCAATTCCTTCCTTCCTTCCTTCCTTCCTTCCTTCCTTCCTTCCTTCCTTCCTTCCTTCCTTCCTTCCTTCCT